TTACGAGTTTATTATGAAAAATTTCCTGCATTCTTCAAAATTTCAGCATTTCGTCAATAAATTAATAGATATTCTTTGATATTTTCATACAAGGAAGAATTTCAGACTATTCTAAGATAATCTTGTGCATTGGTAGAGAGTATTGGATTGAATTCAATCCGAAACATATGTAAATGATAATGGATCAACACAATGGTTAGTAATATTTGAATGTATCAACACAATTTCATAATTTTATAAACTTATCAGCTGATTTAAAATGAGAAATTGGTATAAAATCATGTTTTTTCTTTTTATATTATTGTCTTTGTAACCCAAGCTGCGCATAGAGAAAAAGAACGAAGAAACAGTTGTACATATATCCAGAAATAGCTATATGCACATACAAAAATGTTTTTCGATGGTAATTTTTTCTTCTTCTTGATTAAGAATGAAGGCATATAGAAAATAGAAAATTTTTCTCTCTGTCGGAGAGAATATTTACCCACCACCATCACTTTTCTTGTTTATACAGACACAACTTCACACGTAAGCCTCTAGGTAATAAAAAAACCTAAAGCTTTTTATTTTTTCATTTTATTTCTTCTCTATAACGATGAAAAAAAATAAAAAGAAGCAGAGGGGGTTGTAGGGAATGAAAGGAAACAGGTTTTAAATGTTGACACAAAATTATCGCTCTATCGTGGTTGAAAGCACGAACGAATGCGCATAAAAGAGTAAAAGAAGAGAGAGAAAAAGAGAAAATAAAAAGAAGAAATATCACAAGTATTATTACCAACCAACGTACATTTTTTTATTCTATTCTATCCATATAGACAAAAGCCGAAACGAACGTTGTCGTTCACATCAAGTTTTCAAAAAAGAAAAGAAACATATAGTCAAGCGAACACGTACGTACGTTGATAAAAGTTGGCTAACGTTTTACCGCCTAGACGACGCCCGACGGCATGTTTGCTTACATCACATAGATCAACTTAGGAAAAAGTAAGATTTTCATTTCTCCTATTATTATTGTACTATTACTATTATTATATGATATAATTTTTTTTGATCAGTTTTCCAAATGGTCGTTGATAACTGCGACGTCGATCGATGGACGTCTGGAATATTTAGGGATCACTAAAAAAAAATTTCCTTAGACTTATTCAAAAAATCAGAGAGAGACTAGTAGTAAAATTGACATAACAAAATTTTATCCATAAAAGCCAGATAAAACTGACCTGTAGTAACAAGAGAAATAACTGCCCTTTTTTCTTTTTGAATTTTCTAATTCTTTTAAAATACAAAACAATAATGAGTAGACAAATAATATGTAATAAATCAAGTCATTAGTTAGTAAAATAATTGGTGATGATCGATAACATACATTCTAATTTGCAACAAAATGTTCGTAGAACACTGCTGATGACAGAAAAAAAGTAAAACAACTGATTGGCAGTTATATGATGAGAATCTGTCTCAAAATGACTTGTCATGAATATTAGTCGATAATAAAATAAATGACTTGAAATAAAATATTTAATTTAAAGTTAAGATAACTGAACGGATATAAAATATTCACTTTTTAAACTGCTTTTTACTCATTTTAATTATTGAACCACTTGGTAGTTTACAATATGATACTGATTGATGATTGTACTACACAGATCAAGCTTATAACCAAACTCAAAATTTGCTTTATTCAACTTTTTAAGTGTTCAGATTAGAAAATGTTTTCAAAAAGTCAAGCTTTATATTTTTATCTGAACGAGCTAATTTTTTAAGATAATGTTTTACCATATATACTTTAAAATACTTTAAGTATTTTCTTAAATATCTGAGATACCTTAGAATTATTGTATTGTTCAGATTTCAATGTTTGATTTCTAAGTGCTACATTGTTTTTTAGCTCTAAAGAAACCGCATATCGATTTGATTATGTGTTGAATAAAATATTGCAAAGAAGTTTCAAAAGAGGATGTTAGAATATTGAATGAATTGCGTATGAAAGAGAAAGTGACTTAAACTTTCGCAGACTACAAATATTAAATGTTGTTTTTTTAACATACAAAATTTTCTTCATTTCATAGCTTAAATATTGTCAAATCATTGTTAGTTTCTTGCGAAACTATGTTTCAATAAGATATAAGCTATTTAGAAGACTTTAAGTTTATTTGGAGTACTTCTTATGAACAATTACAATTTTTCTTGCTTCTATGGCATTTTCCTATCTTTTCGCATATACATATACAAAGTGGAGATAGAAGACAAGAAGAAAGAGAATATGTGTGGAATACATTGTACAAGATACCTAGTCTAGATATAGATAGAAATACTCAAGATAAACGCACTAAACATGAAAAAGATTCAAAGTTAAATTAGTCTTGTTCATATGTTATGAAGTTGACAGTTGAATTACTAAAGAAACTTTTCTCTTGCGCAAAATCATTTTTGTATAATTGTTTTCTACACTGATTTTATTTTCTATTACATCTTTCTATGTATTTTTAGTTAATTTTAATTCAATCTTCAAAATGTCAACCAAACGTGATGCGTTTATAAAAACAATTGAAAAACGTCGTAGTGTCTATTCACAGGAACGTTTAAATCAAATATTACAAGAAGCATTATTAGCAAAAGATAAAGAGCCAGGTGATCGTACAGCAAAAGATTATAGACGTATTAAACGTTTTGATATTGTTGAAGTACATGGAAAAAAACGTTTAGTAGCATCAAGAACAGATGATGAAAAAGAAATGCGTTTTTTTGTATCAATTGAAGAAATGTTTGATATCATTGATTTTACCCATAAAAAAATGAATCATGGTGGACGTGATCGTTTATGGCCAATATTATCGAAACAGTACGCAAATATACCCCGTGAAGTAATCCAAACATATCTGAAAATGTGTGACTATTGTGTCAAACGCCGTAAACGTCTTCGTGTTAGTACAGAAGAAGCCGATACTGAGGATGTTGAACAACCACAACAACATCAACAAATTAAACATGAACATGATCAATGTATTCAAAATAATTTATCATTATTGTCAAATGCTACATCTATGACGACAACAACACCGGTAACATCTTCAGCACCCATCTCATCCACCCATTCAGTGGATCAACACAATACAGCCATACAACAAGTTTATAATTCGACAGGTAATTATAGTGACAAACTATAACAGTTCATTTCATTAATCATATTGTGTTCTTGTTTAAATTTAGCAGCTAATCCATCGTATCCCACAGTAACACATTTAATGAATCGTTTATGTGAATATGATATGATTGATTTACAAAATGCTCATGACGGTGAATATTTTTATGTACTCGTTTATCAAGATTATTTGACAAAATTTACACAATTACGACCATTGAAAAATAAAGCAGCTTTAGAAGTGGCAACAAATCTGATGGATATTTTTTGTATATTTGGTCCGCCTTTAGTATTACAATCAAATGTTGATTTACAAATCGAAAATAATACTGTTCAACAAACATTAGAGGCCGTATGGCCAGGTATACGTCTATTTCATGATGATTCAACGCAATCACGTGATACAACAAAACTACGTAACGAACAAATTCGTAGTATGATTGCTGCATGGATGTTTGTTAATAACAATCCACGATGGTCTTATGGTTTGAAATTTGTTCAATTAACGTTAAATTCAAATCAAAATTTAGAATTAAAACGTTCACCCTATGAAGCTATGTTTAAAACATTACCAGTGTTACGACCAGCTACGGTTACATTATCAACCGATACACAACCAAAAAATGAACAACAGGTATTTGTTAAATTTTCTGTTATGCCACAGACATCGTCATCAACATCATCAACATCACCATCACAACATCAACATCATCCACCACATACACCCACATCCACATCAACAAATGATCAACAACATCATAATTTTGTTACACCGAATGTAAATATATTATCTGGTCCAATTGATTCTGATATGATTAAAGAAGAAATGTAAAAGAGTTTATCTCTCTATCTCTATTCAGTCTCTCTACCTCTTGTATACATCTTATATTATATCGTTTGTACAGGCAACGACTTTTTTATTATTGTTTTTTGTTTGATTTTTGTCTACTGTATTTTTTTCTTCTCTTTAAAAAAGAGTCCCAAAATGAATGAGTTTTTGATTTTCTAAACGCCACTAAATTTTTCTTTCTTTTATACATATCTTCTTTCCTATCAACTGTATCTTCCGGCTGATTTTCTTTTTTTTTTGGAGGGAGGGGAAAGCGAGTTTAGTTTGTGCGCTCATTCACACTCATAACGTCGTTTCTTTTTCTTTTTTTTGTGTGTCATGATCTTCATGATTGTTGTTTTTATCATATAACGCAGTGTCATAAAAAAAGATTTTTTTTGTCTAGTGTTGTTTTTATTTTGTCCAAACTCTTCATGCTTCAAGATTTGTCAACGCACGATCTTTTCTATTCTCTTTTCATTGTTATTAATCTGGAAAACGTCGCCCAAAATCGTCTCTGTTTTGCTTAATATGAAAGTATGCGTTTTTTCACAGGAATATATTTGTGACAAAGAGAAAAGAAGTCTATGTTTTTTAAAATTAAAGTAAGAAGACAAAATCATTGACCAAGGCTAAATTCATTTGCAGTCCTCAAGCAAAAAAAAACACGTTATAAAAACTGTCAATTCGCTCATTCTCATTCTATAATATTGAAAGAAATGGGATCTTTTGAAAACTTTTAAATCTGGCTAAGTTTATTGTATCAACCTCGAATTCGACCACTATCATATGGATTTTTCAGTTCACCATATTTGTCACGTACATCAGTGATAAGTAGGATGTTATTAATAAAGAAAAGAATCTCGACTCTATAAATTGAAGTAGGAATGCAAAGAATAACGCTTGACGAGCGACATTACAAGATGAAGTAATAAATTTACACTTTGAACCTGGTGTCCATTCAAAGAAACAAAACTCGCCTAATTATGATTAAGTATATATGAGTTTTTTGCATAATATTTCTGTTAATTAGGTAATTCTAGTCACTGTCATAAACACATAACATACCCTGCTAATAACTTGAGCCAGTTCTCTCCATTCACTATTATAACCCTGAAAAAAACAAGAAGCGTTGTTTATTGTACACTATTACAATCATCATTCTTACAATGTAGCCACCCAATGGCTTCAACAACCGTTCGGCTGGATCGACATTATCTTCGACATTCACTCGCATTGTATCATTAATAATAGTACGATAATCTATAACTGTTCCAAACTGAAAAAGAATTTTTTTTTTGTACAAGTGAACTGTCTGAAGTAAACAGTCAGTATTAAAAAAGATGCATACTAGTAGAATATTTTCAAACATTGAAAAAACATGTGTTCAACTCAGACGTGTTTATCGATGTAAAATTAGTGCTTACCTTTTTCTTCGTTGAGTTTTGTTGTTGTTGAGCTCCTGCGTTAGTAGTGTCACTGGATGGTTTCACTGATGAAACTATAGAAGAAAACAGCATATCATAAATCAAGTTCCAATGAATAGAGAAAATTTAATTTCTCACCTTTCATGAACGATAAACTCATGTCTTCTAATGAGGTATTAGTATTATTATTATTATTATTGTTCGTATGTTGCTAAAAGAACCACATATTTGGTTACAGATAGATCTTTCTTTCCAAGGTTACCCAAGAAAATTAAGAACAGGATTCTGATACATTTTTTCATATGAAGAATACTCACCTTCAGAATAACAATTATTTTCGAGCATTTTAGAGGATTTTAATTCTTTAATGACAAGCTTTCATCGCTCTCCGCGTATAGTTTAATAATATTGTTTAGAACCTACCGACTCACCGTTGATGTTGTTGTTTGACTAGATGTAGGAACATTTGAGGTGGCCCCATTTGCTGTTGAAGATGGTGGCGGAGGATGACCAATTGTCTTTTCTGAATTAGATCTATTTAGCTTTCTAGATACAAGCGTGCTTCGTCGTAAAATATCACCAGCTGATGGTGGTCGGTTATTAACGTTACCATTTGTTGTTTCAGTTGTTGTAACCATAGGAGCAGCGTTTGGCACGCGAGGCAACTGCGGTACATTACTGCGACGAGATGATGACGGTGCACTATGAAAATTAGATATAATTTTTAGTATAATTATACATAACTATAGCAAAACTTAAACTTTTTAACAACTATAATAATTGTTTCACCTCAATGTTTTTGCAGCTAATTTGTTGTTTGGATTTGCTAAAATGAAAATTCTACATAGAATATCGACTAATTAATTCAAGAATGCTTACCTGCTACAAGAAGCTTTTTTGTTAGACGTGGATAACGGTTAAACTTGATATAGTAGTATGATCTAAAATATTGTGAATCAGATGGTCAAATGTTGGCTTCTGGCATATAATCGGCGTACTCATATTCTTGTAAAATTGTATCTAAGTCAATATTATCACAAACATCGTATTTGCTCACATCTAAATTAGTTTCGTGTTCTAATTGACGTGCTGCTTCTACATACCTAAAAACAAACACAATATTAGCAATTAAACAAATGAAAAACACTTTGATACTTAGAGAATATCATTTGTTAACATCTCTACAGACAAAAAATAAAAATACCAGACATGACTAGAAGAAATTGAAAAAAGGAGACGTTTGTGAACCTAACAAAAACTAGGAAAGTCCTTAGTATTGGTACACATTTGAGCAAACCTAAATAAATTGTTTTGACTTGGGTGTTGGAAAATTTCAACAGATTTTGGAACGTCTGTATCGTTGATAAATGGTGAATTTTATCTGTATTGCTATGTCTGTTTTGGCAAGCTAAAATATCATTTGTGAATTAAAAAGAAGCTTACCCTTCTTCTGTGAGCCATTGCAATATCAGAACAACGAGATTTCTTTTCCGAGCTTCAATACGTTGATCATCCTAAAAAAAAGGAAAGCATAGAAAGTTTCTATATATCTCAAAATAATCTGATAGAATGCTAATTTAATTGTCATTTAAATAAAACCCGAAGAAAACTTACTGCTTCACGAGCAGCATGTGTGGTCTTGATTGTTTGATAACTGAGAGTTGCTTCGGCCATTTGTATATTCTATAGCAATTTTTTTTAACGAACAACCATTATCTGAGAAAAATGTCTACACTTTTGTTACTATCAACTGAGTACGTATGGTTCACAAGGTTTTATCAACAATAGTAAAGCTCATAAACGGCTGTTTACTTCATATCCCCATGTATTGTAGCCATATTTTATGAGCCTAAAGAATGTTACTATGACACTGCCACTATATGATCTGTATTAAACATAGTAGCTAAAATCACTGTTATGCGTTCTTATAGGTGAAAATCTGGCCAATCACGATGTTCTATTCACTTTCTTCTAAGTATTTACACTGTCAAAACTGTCCTTCTGTAGTATAGGAAACATTGCAAGTCTCTCTCGATGGGAGAGAGTTCACGCGTCTTGTGTTTTAAATATTTATATTCGAAGCGTGCGAAGTCTTTTCAACTGGTTGCAGTGAAATAATGACTTTTCAAAACAGAAAGGAGAAACTAGAAAACTTTTCATTTGATATATGCTCTGTTGTCGATTGAGTATATTCACAATAGTGAAATAAAGTTTGGTGATTAAGTTTAACTGTTTGTTCTGGTTTTCGTAGTTTTGTTAGTCCCTTTTGTCTATTTAATGTAAGGTTCTCACTATAAAATACAAGTTTTCAGTATAAAAATTTCAATATAGAGTAGTCTCTGAAAAGATTTATATAGTGGAAGCTTTTGAACATTAATATTCTTCAATTTCTCGATTACGAAAGGAAGCGGCTCTAGTCATCTTATAGCTCATCTTATTTCCAGATTACCATTTTTTCGAGAAGTCTCTCTTTTTTTTTTCTTTATAAATATGTTTTAATGCATGAAAAGCATAATTGTTGACCATTTTCCACAAGTACTTTTTTTCGTCAATTGTTAGATTAAACTTCAAGTTCAAAGTCAACTAAAATGCGTGGAGATTTAAATGTATGTATTCAATCACGCTACGAATGTTCAGTTGATAGATCTGTTTTTCTTGAATAGGCAGCACTTAATCCAATTCCGCTTTATAAACCTGGCGGAGGAGAAGAAAAAGCGGAAATAGCTCGATTGGTAAGTCTCTTCAAATATAAAATATCCAGTAAGATTTTTCAAAGTCTGATTTCTTGTTTTAGTCAACATTTGCAGGCGCATTGGCAGTTGGTGATCTCGTTAAAAGCACACTTGGTCCTAAAGGAATGGTATGGTTTTTCAGACTAAATCAACCAGTTCTTATTCTTCTAAATACTTCAGGACAAAATATTACAATGTGGTGGTGGTGGACCCGATTCAGGAAAGCTTCTTGTTACAAATGATGGAGCAACTATATTATCGAAAATTGGCAAGTTCAAATAGGGAAAATACATTATCAAAACAACGCATATTTGAATTTCTATTTTATGTTTTAGGAGTTGATAATCCCGTGGCAAAAGTCTTAGTTGGTATGTTCATCTATTTGTTTATAAAATGAACTAAACTAATCTTCGCAGTGATTTTAAACACAATATCCCACTTAAATAGAAACAATGGGAGAAAACTTCGCCTATATTAGATTCAGTTCTAAATCTTTTCAACAGCTGAGATGTTTCTGTTTATTACGTGTTTAGAAATATCAAAAGTTCAAGATGATGAAGTTGGCGATGGTACAACATCCGTGACTGTTCTTGCTAGTGAACTTTTAAGAGTAAGTTGTATTGACAGCAAAAAAGACAATAAACGATATTATGCTCATTATTTTATTTAGGAAACTGAAAATTTACTTGGACAAAAAATTCATCCACAAACAATCGTGAATGGATGGCGAAAAGCAAGCGCCGAAGCATTAAAGGTTCTTGAACAAGTTGCTGAAGATCATAGGTACGATTAATAATATAAATTCGTGTTGAGGTAACATTTCAGGATAACCTATCTGTTTTTTGTTTTCTAGTAAGAATCCTGAACAGTTTAAACAAGATCTACTGAATATAGCTCGTACAACATTGAGCTCGAAAATTATTCAAGGAAAAAAAGATCATTTTTCAAAATTATGTGTTGAAGCTGTATTAAAATTAAAAGTATGAGACTGTAGACTATTGAAATATACTGTTTGATGTTCTAATATTTTCATTTAGGGTAAAACAGATCTTCAATCAATTCAAATAATCAAAAAACTTGGTAATAATTTAAGTGATTCTTATCTCGAAGAAGGTAAACTGAATTGAACAGGACAATATGTTGAATACTCTGATAACATGTCTATTTAGGATTTCTTCTCGATAAACGTATTGGAATAAATATGCCAAAACGTGTAGAAAATGCACGTGTACTCATTTGTAATACGCCGATGGATACGGATAAAGTGAAAGTATTTGGCTCTCGTGTACGAGTCGATTCCGTTGCTAAAGTAGCTGAATTGGAATTAGCTGAAAAGGAAAAAATGAAAGATAAAGTAGAAAAAATTCTTAAACATGATTGTACAGTGTTTATTAATCGGTATGAAGTCTCGTTGTCACTTAACATTTACTAAATTATTTTCTTTTTCTTTGCTTGAAGACAATTAATCTACGATTATCCTGAGCAATTATTTGCTGATAAAGGTGTAATGGCGATTGAACATGCTGATTTTGAAGGAGTTGAACGTTTGGCATCAGTTCTCGGTTAGTAGAACATGTTAAGAAAAAAGATTTCTTTTTAACTAGTATCATTTATAGGAGGAGAAATTGTATCAACATTTGATGCACCGGATAAAGTTCGATTAGGTCGCTGTAAACTTATTGAAGAAGTAATTATTGGAGAAGATAAACTCATTAAATTTTCGGGTTTGTATTTTACACGTACACCTGTACTTAAATTTAAAAATGGTTTTCTCTTTTTTTAGGCGTTGCTTTGGGTGAAGCTTGTACGATTATACTTCGAGGTGCTACACAACAAATTCTTGACGAAGCTGAACGTTCAATACATGATGCACTTTGTGTGTTATCTCAAACGGTTAAAGAACCAAGAATCTGTTATGGCGGTGGTAAGTGAAGTGCTAGAGAGTTTTTTGTTGTGCTTTAAGTAGATTCGATTTTTTTTGCAGGAGCTGCTGAAATGTTAATGGCGAACGCTGTGACACAATTGGTACTGTCCGCAATAAATCAAATATATGAATATATTATGTTTATCTTTTATTTTAGGCAGAAAAAACACCAGGCAAAGAATCGGTGGCTATTGAATCGTTTGCTCGTGCTCTTCGTCAGGTCAGTAGTAATTGTCAACGTAACAGTAGAGAAGCTTATTTTATTCATGTTTAGCTGCCAACAATTATTGCTGATAACGCAGGCTATGATAGTGCTGAATTAGTAGCCAATCTTCGTGCTGCACATGCATCAGGAAAAAAAACCTTTGGATTAGGTATGTGTTTTCAATTTTACTTTCTAATTATTACATTTATGTTTCTTTTGTTAAGATATGAGAAATGGAACAACAGATGATATGGTTAAATTGGGAATATTAGAATCATATCATTTGAAACGACAAGTTGTTGTTAGTGCATCAGAAGCAGCTGAAATGGTGCTTCGTATTGATAATATCATTCGAGCTCCACCACGACCTCGACAACGAGATATGAGACATCATTAAAAAATCAAAAATTAACGAACAAAAAATAGGCAATTTTTTACACTTTTATATTCATATGTTCGTGTTATTAATTGTAATACAACTTTTTTCTACTACTTGAGAATGTGTGTGAACTAACAATCAGTATTTCTGTGTCCGTGTGTGTGAGTATGTTTTTTATTGTTATTGTTATTATAAGCTCAACCAACATTAAAAGTTTTGTATTGCAATCACACATAAATAATGAATTTTGCAAGGAACTTATACTTTAACGATAGAAAGAGATGCATTTAACATTCCTTGTGGCTCTACGATATCAATAATAGTAACGTTATGTATTAGTTACGCTTCACATGATTTGAAGCTCTTCAGAGCTACATCAAGTTTTTATTTTATGAATATATGTAACACAATACAGAGAAAAAAAGATCAATATGCATCGGGATTTTGACGAATATGTTCGATTAGAGCCGATTCAATTTCTCTAAGTAATAGTTCATTTTCATCTGGTAAATTTAGACTAACATAAACTTGTTTGTTTAATCGACGTGTTAATTTTTTACTTAACGATAATGAATGTTCATAAAAATCTCCACCAAATAATGTTGTACCAATTAAATTATTTGTATTATTCGACGTTGATAATGGAACCATTGAAGGCATTGTCATCGCTAAATTCGATAATGACATATCACCATTCGTTCCAATCCATATAAATAAACATCGATCTGGATAACGAATAATTTGATACATCACCAAACTATCTGATATTCGTTTTGAAAATTGAGACACATTGATACCGCCACTAATTTCCTTTATTGGCTGTATGACTTGATTATCAGCCAAATTAACATGGTTATTCAATACTTCTGTATCAATTAAAGAACTCATTCTAAATCTACAGAATAGTATGTTTTACTATCAAAGTGAACTTCTATTTCCATTACAGTTATTCATTATTTGAATAAAAAAATATGCAAATTTTGATTCAATTCTTTTTTTAACCATGCACATCAAACTTACCGCAGACTTTTCCTCCTGGTAGTTTATGTGCATTATAAACTTTTACTTAACTCAATAAGTCTTCCAAAAAGTTAGTTGCTTTCATAGCTAATAACAAATTTAAGTAAAAAAAAATGAGTGTTAAATAGAAAACTTGATCTTGTTCTAAGAGTAGGATGACTGTATATATTATAAAACATCGTATTTTATTGTGTAGTTAACATTCTTCTATTTTTAATGCAAACAGTTTGTTTTCAAAAAGAGAACAAAGGGAAAAAGACGCACACATACAGAAAATCTTAATTCTATCTATACAGGTTTTAGGGTATTTACCCTACAAAGAAAAAAAAGCAATAAAAAACAACACGTATGTATTTGCATAGAAAAATTCTATTTTAGAAGCACAATAATTAAATACAAAATGGCAGCAAAAAGAAAATAACAATAAAAGTGAAATAGAGAGAAGCTTTTGGCATAACAAGGAAATCTCCTTTAAAGGAAAAAAAATGACTAGTGTGTTGTAAATGATGTCAGAGCTCAAGAAGAAAGAAAAGGAAAAAAACTGTTCTATTGACGACATCACACACATTTGTACAAGAATGAGAAGTACATTGCACAAATACCCTGAGCAAAACACAGAAGAACAACTTATACACAAATAATTAATATTTGAGAGATTCTTAGTTCCTGATGCAAATGCTAGTTAGCCGGTTATACAAAACAAGAAAAAAACACGTAGAAAAAAAATCTGCTGAGTAAATCATTTGTAATAAAAAAAGAAAGTATGATATTTAAGTATAAAAAGAAAACAACAACGCATAATATCAGAAAGTGATAGGAGAAAGTAAAAAAGTGAAGTATTTAAATGACACCTTCTATACTATTAGTATCAAGATGAAGTATCAGCGTTTTGATAAATAACATTTCTTTTCTAGCATTTTCAAATATAACTTTAGCATCGTCACTTTCACAACGTAAACAATTCGGTGCCATAACCATCGATAAATTATTAACGTCCATTTTCGTAATAACAACATTTTCCGGAGCAGCAAAAACCTGAATAAAAAAATAAATAAAAATATTAAAATTGATCACTTTGTTTATTCATAATTACTTGTAAAAATCTAATTAAATAAGTTAAAACTGCTCGGTTGATATCGGGTAATGAATTTACCAAACGTATACATGTTTCAGGCATATCACAATATAATATACATTGTTCATAAAAGATAGACGGTATTAATGGTTCAGATAATTCACGATACCATAATTTCAAAAGACTGGCAGGTAAATGTGCGTCTTCTAATGATGGTAATTGCCATTGATCACACTTTACTTTCAAAGCATTCACACCGTCCAAATCACCCGGCACTCTTGAAAATACTACACAAGTTACAATCATACTAGGAAAAAAGCCAAGTAAGATTTACCGAAATATGCCTTCAGTTTGAGCACCATTTAACCTTAAAACTTCTTCCGATAAGGTTGTTTGTATCCATGGTAAACGTCTTTCAGGAAATCTAGTTCGTTGCATGGCCATTACTTCTTCTAGCGTTGCGCCAAACATCGATGGAAAATGTATTGTATGCTAAAATATAATGAAAAACTTATGACACTGACTTTCTTATGAAGTTTTACATACCTTTGACAATTCAATTTCTTCAAATGTCGGTTTTTTCAACCCTTTTTTTGGTCCCGTTTGAATTATTTTATCAAGACGTTTTTGACAAACTTTGGCGTAAATACTAATCGGAACTTCTTGTGTATCAGCATCGCCTGACGATTGTACGATTATCCAACGTTCAAGTAATGACTGAAATTTTGCCGATGGTGGAAAGAATGAAAGACACACAGCTGAAATAGAAACAAATGTGGTGATTCACATAAGTTTCAAACTAAAAAGTTCTTACCCATTAATTCCCAGCCACGTTGCAAGCTTTCCGCTGATATATTATAACTGGTCTGCTTGATCAACTGTAGATACAATTCATCACGAATCGGAGGCAGACTCCAACCTTTCGTTGTTAATTCCAAACATGTATTTAACGAGGCAACAGGTTGTTTTGCTTTTCGATCACCCATATACGACTGAATCAGTGCAAATTGTTAAAGAAATAACAAAAAAAGATGAAATTTATTAGTAGAAAGATCAAATGATAAATAAAGGATATGTTTAAAAGTTTCTGGAGCTTCTTTTTTCAGGATTTTATCCATTGTTTTTAAAATTGGTTTTGTCAATGGCTCTTTAGACCATGATAGTAAATCACCCTGGGTCATTCTTTTACCAAATAAACCTTTTTTATGAGTATTGAAATTTAATAAGTCATTAAATACAACGTCAGATTCAACATCAGAAATGACCGAATTATATTTTGCACTTGGCGATGGAGATAACCACTAGAAAAGAAGAACAGAAGAAGCAGTGATAAGAAACAGCTAATACACGAAATAAACGTTCACTGCACCTGTTTATAACCGGATGTTTGATTACTATTACCACTTGCTTGATTGTCACACGAAGATTGCAAATGAATGGAAACTGGACGATTTAAACTTGATGATTCATCACACTGTTCATTATGGCGAAATACTAAACCGTTACCGTTACGATCAGCCACTACCACAACAAAAAACAAATTCATCTTCAGTTACTGTGTAACAGAGACATGCAAATCAAACCAGCATGCTTCAGACAATCTAGGAAGGAGTACTTAAGAATGCTTGGTAGCGTTATACTTATTAAACGTTATTAATGGACAATACTTAGCCCCTTTATTTGCGACATAAGAGACAAACTTGTTCCTTTCAAGAAATCTAGTACGATTTCTTACGATGCGGAGTTGAAATTTGATTTGTTGGCGGTGCTGATGGGGGTGATGAAGACGAATGTCCATCATAATAGATTGGCAATATAGGTGATGATAACGTTGACGTATTTGATCCGCATCCACCGGTACGAGTAGTAATTGGTGTCGTAGCTGAAAGAAAAAATAAATGTGAATTGAGAGATGTTAAAGTAGTAATACTAACGAACAAAAATAAGATCTTTACCATTCGAATTTGGCTTATACGGTTGAAAATTAATATTCAATGGATCTGTTGTCGAATGAAATAAAAATTCTAAACGGAAGAAAACAGCTGCTATAAACAATAGGAAAAAGTGATATTTCTCCACATTCAAACATGGTATCTTGCTTACAGAAAAGACTACAGTGGATGTCATCATTCACTACGGCGAGTTTACACAAGCCCGTTACGGACACAAAACAAATATTTATTTATTTTCTCGAAATTTATGTGATTTATAGCAGAATATTATATCCTTTTTCTCATTCAACACACTATAATTATTCTATTGTTGGTTTCTTGAAAGAAAACGACAGACTGTTGTTTTAATTACCTTACTACTCATTAGTAAGATGTTTTTCTTTATGATCAGAATACAGTTTTACCATGAGTAGCTATGAAATTATGTTTCGTTCTGAAGGCAAAATGTAGATCGTTTAGAGTACGATACTGCTCTTGTTGTATTCTCAATTTGAAACTACTGGCGAAAAGCAACAAACGAGAAAAATTACAGTCAGTTTGCGTTTTTTACATTTAAATGTCTAGTTTAGTTTAAATAGTATTCACAAATAACAGAAAACCAAAATGATTTTTCTTTCAATATTTACATCATTCTTCTACATCGATAAATTTCTTTATCGATATATATTTACGTGTCCTATACTATCATCACGCGTTTCTGTTTGTATCTTTACGTACTAGCAGACATATGTTCTATTTCTATTACTCACTAACTTTATTCAACGAACCATATTCATAAATAAAAGTAAGTTAATCATTCATTTGAAACTTGACTAGGTGATACATACCATCATTACAGGATATAAATGGTTGCTGAATTGTTGAGTCATCATTGATTGAAAACTGTTTCATTATCAGAGGTTTATTTGTTAACGTATTTGTACTATTGCTATGCTGTTGATCTTGATTAGTTAGCATTTCATTTGATGGTATTTTTGATCCACCATTTTGAGTTGCCGAGGACGAAGAAGAAGACGAAGAGGATAATATTAACGCTGTTTTAGTCGATGTTTGAGATGAATGAAGAGGACAAATTCCTTTTGATATTGTATCATTACTTTGATAAAATGGATAATGTTCAGAAGACGTTATTACATGTGTATGATCATTAATTTCTTTTGAATTCAAAAATGGTTGTGAATGAAAATGAGTTGTATTGGTCGTTCCCGTTGTTCCAGCTGTAGTAGTCGTAGATTTGGCAGATGTGGAATTCAAAGAAGATGAAGCAGATGACGAATTATTCTCAGAATTATAAATTTTAATATATGTACTACGTAATGAACCATCATTCGATTTTATTTCAATATTAACATAGTTTGGATTTGTCCGTGGTTGCTTTTTCCGTATTCGACTTCTTCCATAGGCTAAACGACTAAAACTCATTGGACTATGTGTCGATGGTGTGGTAGGACTGTCAGAATAATTTGTGGCTGTACTACTACATGTACTGTGTTTACTATTTAGTGTAGATGATGCACTATTGATAGTCGCACCGTGATTTGTATTGCTGTTGTGTATTTGTAATTGATGAGAAGGTGAGTGATTATGAAGTGAACATGTCGACATTTGTAATGATGGGCTGCTTATATGTCGAAGTATAGGTGATTGTTGACAACTAGCATTTGTTTCAAATAACTACATATAAAAGAAAAACGAGTTACAACTAAGAGAAAAAACCCAGAGATCTTCTCTTACCAAATCATTTAGTGGTGAACAACTAGCGGCATTTAAGTTACATAATGTGGTGACATGATCTTTTGAATACTTTACACTCGAACGTTGTTGTTGTTTTTTAGTATTATCATTGTACATCACACTTGGATTATATGATGTAACAGTTATATCACCTAGTGGACTGTTTGGCGACGATTTCAATGCTAATTCTTTTTTTAACTTAATACTTTGTGAACGTTTTGTATTCAGCGTTGTTTCATTTCCTAAAATAAAATAAAATAAAATTTTATCAAAACTCATTCTAGTTCTTTACCTGTATCCATTGGTATTATTGATTGTTCATCAACTGACTGATTCATAATGGTATTATTATTATTTTTGCGTGCTGACTCAAATTTTGTCATTATAATCGGATAATTATCATAACCTGATTTTTCATAACAATTATCTTGTTGTTGCTCTTGATAAGCACCGCGTGTTATTGCTGATTTTTGTGTTGTTCGCTCATGGCGAGAAGATTTACGTTCTAAATTTGTTGAAGTTGGCAACGATGCTACAGTAGCATTATTTGAGTGAATTAAATTGTCGTATGTTGATTTTTCACTTGCTTTTGTTTGCAAATTTTTACTACTATCTTCGATAGATTTAATCACTGATGATGAAGACGAAGAGATGGCAGACGAGGATGAAGTTGACTTGTCTAGAATTGGTGCATTAGTACGTGAGAGTAGTTGTTGTTGTTGTTGTTGTTGTGATGAATCATTTTGAATTGTACGACAAAAAAAGCTTGAATTTGACGAGAGGGACGATGATGGTGAATTGGTAGAATTTGATGTTGATGACGAAGGTTTTTGTTGTTGATCGTTATATGCAAATGTTTGACGACTACTATTGATTTGGTGAGGTACGGCATTAGTAGGTGACAATGATTGTAATATTGTTGCCGTACGTCGAACAGACTGAAAGAAAATAGAGTTCAAAGCAAACGAATCAGTGTCTTTCTAATTTATTACCCTTTGTGCAATTGAATTAAGAGGTGGTGTTGAAATATTTGTTGTTGATGTTGTTTTATTATTACTGTTCGATGTATTACCAGAACTATTAACGACATCTAATGGTTGTAAAGAGATTTGCTTTCCTTTGCTAGTATTGGATATATTGTTTATTAATCCTCCTCCTTGCTGTTGTTGTTGCTGATGATGAAATAAAGCATGATTAATTGATGATGCCGGCGACATTGTAGGATTATTAGCTAACGACGAAACAGTATTTTGTCTATCAACCTCTTTCGGTTCCGTATTTTCTTTGAGCATCTAGGAGACAAAAATGCATAAATAAATTTCTAATCTAGCTTAGCACAATGGCACTTGCCAGGAACGGATAGAAGAATAAAAATTTTCGCTTATTCCATCTCCTTTCTTCTAACTGTTCTTTTCTTGCAGAATCCTCGACAAATACTACCCCACCAAACTCTTTTTTTTACTTTTTAGAGAGTTACTGCATTCTTCTCATCTCATCTGGTATTAAACTTTAACGTGGATAAAAAAGATTGTCACACATCCGTTATTATAGCTAGAAACTGTTGACTCAAATGTACCTGCAACTTAGCCAACGGGATAATGTCAGCGTTGGGTGGACGATTCCATATAGTTCGTTGTGTTGTTGCATTATAATAATAATGTCTTTTTGTACTGTTATCATACAACTCCCACCACTGACTATGATTTTGTAATTTTCTAAAGAATAAAAAGAAATTCATAATAATAATTGCTTAGCAGATCTTGAAGATAATCAGGCTTTTTAATATTCATAGTTGAAGAACACACGAGAAAAGAGAATTGAAGGGTTCAATGTGATACGAACAAGTGCAATTGTGTTTAAAGATCTTATTTTAGGAAACGTTGTTTAAACACTACCATAGTTGATTTTTTAACTTTAAAGCACATTAACATATAATCAAGGTTATTGTCGAGAAAGGTATTACAATTCAATCACTTTTGTAATATAGTAAAGATGTGAAAACCGGTTATGGACTGAATTTGATCAACAGAAATCAGAAGAGAAATTATAGATATTTTATGTAATTATTGTATTAGATTAAGTGGTAATTTGTGGCCACTTAAATATATATGAAAATAAAATGAAAGACCAACGATTATTCTTTCGTATATAAATATGTGATAATTTGCCTAGACAATATTTAGACACATTTTTACAGTACATAGAACATCAAAATTATCCTAATTGATCTAATAGACGTTTTTTATTGTAAAAGTAGATTTCTCTAAATTGTTAATATGAATGAAAATCCGGCTACAATCATATCTATTATAATAATCAAAAAATAAGTATGTACATGAAAACATAAAATTGTCTATTTAATCCTATTTTACATTGACATATATGTCTACACATATTTAAATTATACTAAATTAGGTATCGATTTAATTTCGTATTAAAATTCTACCTGTACAAATGATCAATTTTTGGAATAAAAATTAGAAACATAATTATTCTATTATTGCACTAAAGGAATGTTTACCTTTAATGACACTTTGTATTTAGAACATAAAATAACCTATTGACAAATGTGTATGATCTTTATAAAGAAAAGCAATTTTTATATAAGCCGAGTTGTATGATAATAAACCTGATGATGAAAAGTCTCTGTAACCTGATTTTGTAAGAAAATTTATTACTTGTTATTCTCAAATTTCCTATACACACGACAAGTCCCTTATAATTATAAAAATGACCATTATTATTAGTTTATTCTCTATATGTTGTTTCAATAAACAGCCGTCGTATATAATGACATTTCTTTCTCTCTCTCTTTCTTTCTTTCTCTGTCAATTGACTTGACCTTTCTTTCGTTAGTTAGTGTATACGAAACAATAGGTATAGTACATGAGTGTGTATACTTGGTCTATCTGATATGTATCCATTATAGATATTTTGAAAACAATTGAAATCGATCGTATGACTAACTAGATCCGGTGTCTTTTGTTTTGTTTATTTTATCAAGTGGTGTTCATATATATACCTTTACAGATGTATGATCATTGTCTCATATTATTTAGAATATAAATGAGAGAAATAGATACTGAACGTAAATGTTTGTTCTAATGACATATGTGCATAATTCTTCTGAAAAAATTTTCGCAGAAACAAAATTAAATTTTTTTTTTTCTATTATTTGTATTTATTGTTGCATATACACACAAATCTCAATTACGTCAGTTCAATTTTAATACATACATTTTTGCCAATGGTGGTGGTTGCCAAACACATTCACCTGTTATCAAATTTGCGTACATTCGATCTTTACTTTTTGGCTCAATAATTTCAACCCATTCGAGTCTAGAAAATAAATGAAACGAAGAAAAAAAATAATAATAGATTATTTACTAAAACTACATTATTTTTATTTTTATTTTATTTCAGATTGTGGAATCAAAAAATATTAGTATTCACTTGTAAAACGTTTAAACTATTTTTTTTATAATTATGTATGATATTTAACATTTACACACATATATAAAAACAATATAAATTGCAACTAATGAGTCTATGATTGTTACATAATAACACTTCACTAAGTTGTGACGCCTGTATTACACCAAAAAAAAAAACTGTCATCATTACTTGTTTTTTTTTTGTTTTTTTACAAGAAAAGTTAATAATGCGTACTTTTATATTTTTATCTTCTACTTAATAAATTATTTTTATTTTATTTTTCTCATTTTCAATCTTTCTATTAGTATTAAACTAGAGGCAAACTGATTTTTTATATCAGAATCTCGAAAGTACTTATATAAACAAGTTGAATGGAAAGGAACATCAACAAGGTAATTGAGGATTGATGAAGTATCAAGTATTTGAATGTAACTGCCACAGTAAAAAAAAAAAGTCTTCACTCTCAACCTTTAAATTTAAAATTCTATTTATATGAATAAAATAAGTTTGATTTTTAATGTTCGATAAATTTTATACCAGTTAGTTATTTGTTAATATATAAATACAATGCGAATAGAACTAGTAACACAGCTGCTTCTATATGTAGTACTTTGACGCGTCGATAATAATTTTTGAGAACAATAGATTTATTCGTGTATAAAATAGGACTGATGGAATTTTCAAAAGAACAGCAGCATATAGTGTCATATTTTTCGTTGTTCTTATTATTATATTATACACCTCGTCAACAAGGTATATTTATTTTTTTTCTTTATCATGGTACATACGCATCACTACAAAATCTGTTTGTATTTATGTCTCAGTGATTTGAACCAGAAGAGAATAAAATTTTTCAGACATATCAAATATAAACGAGAAGCAAAACACGTCATCATGAGCAATACAATAAAAAAATAAAAAAACTTTAAAGGTTAAATGGATAAGTAGAATCAATAGTTGTGACTTAATAGGATCTTGTCGACAAAAAAATATCTTCTATTAGAATAAAAACCTTCTCAATACTTTGCAAATAAACACATAATAATTGTGAAAATTTATTTCTCTTGAAGTTGAATATTTCAAGCAGGACAAAAAAAAATCTAGTTGTCTTTTAATACATACTATTATCGGTATTAAATGTATTTAATACTCTATTTTCATATATCAGTAAAAATTCGAATCATTTACATTGTCAAATATTTAGTAGTCTCATTATAATAATAACTATTACTATTAAAAAATCTTTTACCTTTCACACATTTCTTCTTTTTACTGTATATTGTAATAATTAAACTATTTAATACATTCTTCAAGATCAAATTTAATGATCATACCGTCGATCGTTTTCGTCATACACATAATCTAATTTTGGATATTGAGAAATCAATCAATCCAGTGTTAATTCATACAAATAATAATAATAATAATAATGAAAAAAGTCTTTATTCATTCCGTGTGTGAATTTTCCCAAATCAAACAGATCATCTAAAAGACAAAACAAAAAAAAAAAAAGAAGAAAAAAAAGAGTAATCTATTTTTTGTTGTTTAATTATGCTCAACACCAACGGTTTACAGACAAGTATAACCTTCATCACTGAATTGTGTATATGTGTGTGTGTGTGTGTGTATATGCCGAGTATAGAACAATTCCAATCATGTCATTTTTCAATCAATCTTTCTACGACTACTATTGAACACACACACTGTATGGTTATGACATAAAGAATAAATGAAATGTGGTACTTATAAGACCAAATAGAATATATACGTAAAAAAGAAAAAAAGAAGGAAAAAAGGAACTGTACAATATTGTATGCACACGTACGAACACCATAAATATGATGATAGTATGTCAAAATGATAAAGACTAAATGCGCCTATATATACATATAGAGAGAAGAAGAGAAAAAAAAAGAGAAATATATTTTTTCAGAAAAAAAAAGAAGAAAAACTTGTTCATACAAAGAGTCGAATGTTGATGAACACCAAAAAAACAGGAACTATTTTTAGAATGGGAAAGAAATTAGTCTGACACAGACAGTGTTCAATTCTCTGGAAACATTCATATAGTACTAATGATGATAACGATTTTTTTTTTCTTTCTATCATACAATAGTAATAATAGAAAGACTGTGTTTCTTATTTTTTTTTATTTCTGCACAACATGTACAAGATAGAATGAATAAACACATATTTGGATAAAAACAAAAGAAACTAGATCGCAACTACCCTGCGAGAGGATTAGAAAACCGACCAAATGAAACGTTTCTTCGACACCGTTTGAATCTCCTACGTACGATTAGAACACTGCAGTCCTCTAGTAGTAAACATTTTGATGCATTCTAACGGTAGTAATGTTTTATACTATAAATGCATCAAACTATACAGAAGTATAGACTAATATGTGATTATTTAATGAGTCACTGTACACTGTTCAAACTGAATGTGTATGAAATGTTATGTGACTATTAATTATTGCAGAGGAAAACGGTGGAGTGCTTGAAAATATGCTCAAGTTTTGGGACTTATATACATTAATTAAAAGATATATTGAAAACTAATGCCAGATGTGTTATCTACAGTATCCTTAGCCTTTCTATTGATCTTTATCCCAAATTCATACGATTAGAATCAGCTGAGAACAAGTGACTGACTAGAGCAAGAAAAGTGTCAAAAAGAATTTTTTATGGTGAAACAGAATAAGCCTTATCGAGTTTCACTCGGTTGGCTTAAAGAGAAAAATAAAGAAATAATAGAAACGAAATAATTTGGCAGCGTATATTTATTGAACTTAAAAATATGTCATTTAGCTTTTGTTTCGTTCAGATCTGCAGTTAGATTTATGAAAGATGATAAAAATCTTTAATATGTGTGTAGTTTAACAATAATGACTTTTTCAATAAAAATATATAAATTGAAGTTATATTTAGAGCAATTATCATCAATCAGTCATTCATTAGTAGTGATCGATAGAAAAAAATTGACTAAAATCGTCGATATGATTATAGCCATACATCAAAAGATAAAAATATAGTTATTCTACGTGACAAACTCAACAAAATATAACAACTTTATCGTATCAAGTAACCTGACAAGCTTTTTTAAAAATCATACCGTTTTAATAGAATAAAATGTCATGTACAGCTCAAGTGTAAAAGTTAAACCTTAAAATATTTATAATTTAAAAACTAGATAAAACATTTATTCCTAGACTTAAGATTAATCATATATACAGTAATAATAATAATCAAACTGTTTTTCTTTTTCACATTTTGCATAAATGTTTGACTAAAAAATAAGAGAACACATACAGATACACTCGTTATACTTCTTCCGTATGTGGTAGTGGATGATAACGATTAACTAATAATGATAAAACTGAATGATGAGAACAAAACAAAAAAGAAAGAAGTTGTTTGCACTTGGAATCGAACAGAAAAAAAGAAACAATGTTCAATCATCTCGATCGTTCCTTTTTTCTTTTCTACACATGTCTGTATTTACACGTGTCTCATCATCGAGAATAAAATATACGAAAAAGAAAAAGAAGAGAAAGAAAAGTAAAGAGAGATACATAGCTTATAAAAAGGTTGAGATCATCAGGAATTGCTTTTTTAGCACACTATAAATAGTGAACGTAATCCGATGATAAAAGAAGAAAAACTGTGTATAATCTTCAATACATACATTACTCTAGATATTTGTTACACTAGTGACCACTCTAATACGCAAGAACATTATTTGAAAATATAGAGTTGCGATATTTGTATCGATATACAAAATCGTCTTTATAAGGTCGCTCGCTATACGGTTATTTTTCTTCTCTTGAGCACTCATCTTTCTGATAAATCTGTATGTTTTTTCTTTATATAATATCCATCTACAATGTGTATTCTCTGTGTTTGCCGAATATGAAAATTAAATGTAATAAGCTTCCAACATTAATTTTCACTACTTCAATGTTCAAAATTACTAATATTTCTTTTTTCTCTTATTTCTGTTTTTCTATTCTTTCTTGATCTCAACGGGGTACATCATTTCAAAATAAAAGATAGCTCAAAATACTTCTTTGATTTAATTTAATTCATTAAAAAATAATACAGTTAATCACGTTTTTTCTCTCTGCAAATGCAAAAAGAATGATATAAAGCAATATCATTGAGAAGAAAATTATTCGTTTGGAAGGAGAACCGATCGAAAACGAAGAAATGTAATCGTTTTTTTAATAGAATTTATGTTAATGAAACTTTAAAAGACTATTTAATAATCCTTCGAAATCGAGGATGAGAGTTCTAAGGGATTTTAACAGACTTCAACATATGGCCGCAATGAACTAGTGAGAAGGGCGAACTTAAAGCTTTAAAGTATAAAAATCGGATTGTTCATATAAAAAAAGGGTAATCATGGAGTTTTGGTGTTTCTCTGAAGATGTTAATTTTGGAGTGGCATCACTATGGTGGCGGTATTTGAATTACTTCTGTCATAAAATGCACCAGGGATGAACCAAAACTTCATGATAATCCTTGTTTTATATAGACAATCCGACTTTTATACTATGAACCTTTAAGTTCACCCTTCTCGCTGGGGCATTCCGGCCATATGCTTCGTACAAACAAAATATATTTAGCACTCTTCTCCTTAGAACACGTTTATCTACTAGCTATATGTCTACTACTTTGTGGCATCGTACACAAAGCTTACTAGTCTTTCCTTATCCTCAGTGACTTGCACATCAATGTTGATGCAAACAGTTCGAGAAAGCGGCAATTAAATAAAAAATAACGTTATTTTTCAAACTCACATTTGTAGAAATGAAACTGAAAACAAATCGATTATTTTCCTCCAGTTTTCGGCGTAATATTGTATTTTGCTTGAAAGATACCATTGCTTTCTATCAATTGTATCTTCCGTTTCCTTAGTAAAAACGACTTAGGGATGGTGACCGACTTCGAGCTCGCCAACTCCTATTTACTCTTGATCCAAAAAGAGGTCGAATGCTCTGTTAGGTTAGATTTATATGAAGAACTCAGTGGTTTAAATATAAATGTGTGAAAAGATCGGTTTTACTTCGAATTTTCGACGAAGACATGACGCACGTCATTCTACTAAACATTGATTGTTATTATTACTGCTATAAGCTTTGTAAATAAAAATATATAGAAAATTACAATAATAAAAATTGATTTGACATCATGCACATGTTTATCACTAATTCTAAATGGTTTACAAAATTCACTCATCCCGTACTCACAGTAGAAAAAAAGGACAGATAATTGTGCGACAGTTCACTCTGAGTTACTAGAGATATGCAGACCTGAACATTTATAAAGAAATCTGGCAGCCATAGCTGATGAATTACGAAAAATTGTCAAAATTGCTAATTCATTGACGAACAAGCGCAGGGTTAATCAGAAATTTTCTTGCGGTTTTTACTATATGAATGTAGTTAGTGTTAACCTAGGAATATTGGTAATAATTTGTCATCTACATTATTAAAGTATGAAATCTCATTTACAGCTAAAAGAATACTACTATGAAAAAGTTTAATGACCTAATTGATTGATTATATAAACATATACAAGACAAAAATTGCCGTTATGAGATCTGTTTGCTATAAGTGGAATTTCAAACCAATCAATTTTTGGACAAAAACCAAGAAAAGCTGAAGAACACTCAGTTGTTTTGATAATTAATCCGTTTATTTGAGAAATAAAAGGTGAATAAATACATCTGAACTTATGACATTCCCAAAGAATGTTCATACTAGAGGTGACCAGATGAATCCCTATTTGTTGAACTGCAGTAAACTGCACACATGAGCCTCTGATCAATTCATTTATTACTTTGAATAACTCTTAAAGTTGAGTGAGGATTGAAGTCTCGACTTAATCTCACTGAAGAGTTCTCTTAATTCTTGATGTTTCTTCGAAAGTTGTCAGTGCCACCTTAAGTCTTTGTTTTGACTAAATTCTCTTAAGTACGTGAAACGCGATATTGGATTAAACATTGGTTTAACACATCTCCAAAGTTGTGTTAAGTCAGTGCTATAAACCTGGTTGAACACATGTTTTCCCATTGTTTTCATAATTATTATATCTGCACTTAGCAGTTTATATTAATTTTTTAAAATTCTTATCAAAGTATCCACAAACAGAAAAGAGATGCTCGAATTGTTGCACAGAACTGTTTACTGTTTATTTCGCTTGAAGATAAATCAACAATAAAAAACTATCAGACATTTGCTTTCCTGACTCAAAAAGGTTTTCCGATAAACACAGTCATGCTAGAAGGAGATGGAAATCAAAAGAATGTATCTAGAACCATTTAAACAGTATTACTGTGGCTTAAAATCGAACGTGTATTGCTTGGCTAGTGAACAGCGAAAAAAGCGTGCCAGTGTTACATTTGAAGTGTTGTACAATCACACGACACTTTTGGCTAAAATATCTGAGCAATTAAAAAGCGATAACATACTTTTAACGTTCAGAAATGTTACTAGGAAGATCTCAGTTTTTAACTATACTGAGCATTATTCACGTGCTCAACGAGATTGACCAATAATATGCGACCATGGCATATCTTTGTAAGGAAGTCGTATTTTTGCATATAAATGCGTTATATGAATGGTATGTTAATGAGATAAACAGTTTGTGAGCAAATATATACTATATATTTCAAATAGAAAGAATAACATAATTTTTTTCTGTCGAACTGGTGTCCGTATTAGCGTGTAAGACGCGCGTCAGATAGCACTGAACGATGAAGTTTTATGACCTCCATACAACCTTTTATGATAATTTTTTTGAAACATATTATTTTATACGAGTTACTTGTACTGGACAGCATTTGTTCAGTTATTTATCTTATTTATTTTTAGAGGAAATATAGACTATAAAAAATGGCAACTCCAAGTTATAGAAGGGTTTATAATATTTCTAAGCCATTACATTTTAGTACTACACTTCATGGAAGTAACATTCGTTTGTCATCGGACAATAAGCAAGCGAGTCGCATCAATTCTGGACACTCAATATCAAATAATTGTTATGTTTTGAGCTCTCGTCCAATTAATACATTTGAACACGTTTATCTTCAACATCATTCGTGTGACAGTGATTTTATGAGTGCGTTACGTGTTGGTTTTATAACAGAACAACAAGATCCACAGAAAGGAGGTTGGATACTTGCGCTACGTGATCATATATTGAATGAAAATGAAATTGTTGCGATTTATTATACACATGACCATTCTGTTATTGTAAAAGGTTTAACAGATAAGACGGAGACCATTTTATTAACAATGAATAACGATTCTAATATAACAGAACGGGCAAATGCTGTAAATATTCAAGGTCCCTTTTATCTGAAATTAGAATTAGTAGGTCGTAGTGATGCTGTGAAAATTGTTAATGATGAATTGCAGTTGAGTGGCAATGATTCAGTTATACCTGTCGATCATTCACCGTCAGATAATGTTCAAAATCTTATTCAGAATAATAATAGTGGTTGTTGTTTGAATTATTATAATTATTTAACGAACAATAGCAATAATGTTGTATTTCATAATACTATTCATCAAAATATTGTTTTATTAGATAGAATGGCTATTTGTTGTGTTGATAATCTCTTAAAAAATTCCGCATATGCATTTTTGAACACACAAATCACTCGAGGCGACGCTCTTATTTTCAAAGTAATTATTAATGTCTTCATTTAAATCGGCTATTGGATGATAGGTCTACTATTACTTAGTTCTGTGCTTTTTTCGTTATAGATTATGAATAGAGAGTATTCTTCAAAATCTTCTTTTATATTTGGTTTGACAACTGTAAATCCGACGACAATGAAACCACGATCATTTCCAGAAGATATCAATGCATTTCAGCAAGTTTATCCTCAAGGAGAATGGTTGTATTCAATATTTGATCAAAGTTTTTCATTTGAATTATATGACGAAATTGCATTATATCTTAACTTAGAAAATCGATTATGCATATCAAAGAACAATTGTTTGCCAATGCAATTAGTATTTGATACAGCATCCCCAAAACAAAATGTATCATACTGGCCATTTTTTAATCTTAACGGTCAAATTACGGCGTTAAAAATCATCTGTAAAACATCAGTACAAAATTTAAAATTAGCTAAAACACCTGTAGCATCAAAAAACACTGAACTAGTATTATGTCCATTTTGTTGTGAACGTTTATGTGATGCCGTGTTGGAACCGTGCGGATGTTCAGAAATTTGTTTTGAATGCGCGACAATAATCAAAAAGTCATCTAGAACAGCTGCTGACTGTCCATATGACCGTTTACCGATTTGTAATATTAGAAAAAAATCTTAGTGATAATGTGTGATATGAACTTAATATCACTCGTTTTTCGAAGCTCTTGTGATATTTTTCCCATTTTGCGATATTTTGATAAAGATTTTACCTCTTATACTATTAATTATGAAATTTGCATGATTTTATTATAAAGTTATTTTTGAGCTTTTTTTATGTATCTATTTTTTTGGAGTATGATGAATTTTTTTCCGGTTGCTTTGACTCAAATTTGTCTTTTGTATTTTTTAACTCATAAAATCCTGTTGATTATAAACTTCTGTTGAGTTTTGAGAGAAAAAGAGATGGATGCATTTCTGTTTTGTTAACCGAAAGGAATAGATCTCAACCCACAGTGGGCAATCAAGCGGACACTAGGCAAAAAAATGAAAGTGAACTTTTTCAAGATTCAAATAGCAGATCATATACTTCAGCTTATGCTCTCTTCAAATGATACTGGAAGTTCTTTTCCAAGTGCCATAGTTAGTGAGAAAATCGACGCGAAAGTTTTTGTTGCAAAACAGACTGATGAAGAGAGAAAAATTCTTTTTGGCGAAACAGAATACGACAGTTTAAAACTGGAGCGTTCACTCTATCTGTTCGTAAAATTCTTTTGTGTAACGCTCTGGAATCGGAAAAATAACTTTTCTTTCTGCGCTAGGTGTTTTCCGAAGAGCGGACTTCAGTATGGTGGGGTTCCCATTTTTTTCCAAGCGGCAAATTAAACGAAACTTTCACAGAATATTCTTCTACTAGCAATATTACTATGCTGTTAGCGCAAATGTTTCTGGGCCGAGTTATAGGTTTTTGAGGTAAACTCGACTTTTCTTGTTCCAAAAGCGGCTGTATTAACAAAATAATAACATATTCGTAATCAGCGCACAAAACTGCGTCGAATGATGTGTAATTTTTAAGTTTTTCTGTACAAAATTTTTCGATCTAACGGAATCCTAGACCTGAAGCATTACCACGACAAATTTTTTGATATTTATTTTAGCAGCCGTGCAGAAGGCTGCAAATATTGTTTTTATAGCCTTTTAGATATGCTTTTTCCAATGGTGCGGTTTATAAAGTTCAAAAGTATAAAGTTATGTAGGTTTTTTATAGATTTAAGTCTCTAGAAAATCAAGAAAATACACTTTTGAACTCTGTAAACCACACCATTGGAAAAAGCATATCTAAAAGACTATGAAAACAGTATCTGTAGCCTTTTGCACTGCTTCTGTAGTGTATGTCTATTATTCTAGCCAAAGTTGATCATTAATATATATTCTCGTTAGAAACAAACTCTATAAAAAATTTTATTAAAGAAGGCGATTTTATTACTCTGGAAAACTTACATCAGCTTCTTGTATTACTGATAAAATAGAGCCACGTTGTTTTCACTACATACATAGCAAATGCATTGTACTATTAAATAATAATAAAATGACTAAAGACGATACCATTTTGCCAATTTGTCTGCATCTTGTTCTTAAGCAATGTCACATACAATTATCATTTAAGAGGCAGTGCACGATAGGGACGAACAAAGTTGCTCATTGTACTGTCACAGATTTCTCTCAAATTATCAGAGCAGATAGAGAAATGTGTCCTGAACATTTTTGTCTCTTAATATTTTTTTCCAAAATGCTTTTTCTTGCCGCTTGCAAAAAAAGTCGTAAAATACGGAAAAAAAGCCATTTTTCAGTCGAAAATTTTGCTTATGCTATAACTCCGTCAAATCAAATGCTAATGAGCTTAAATTTTTACCAGAGTTGCCTTGCTATGAGTACTATCTAAGATAAAAATTTGAACTTGTTTGAGTTAAGCGTTCTTCAGAAATAGTTTATTCTTTAGACATAGACAAAACGTCATCGGCCATTTTGCAACCGAAGATGGTCCATTTGAAGGGTTCTCTACGGCTTCGTGAAGTAGGCCCAGAGTACCACCATGAACCGTCGTCGAATTTTTGGGGAAATGATGGAAAACACTCGGGAGTGTCTTGTCAAAACGTCCACATCACCTCGAAAAAACCTGAAATTTTCCTTTTAAAATCCGTTGAATTACACACCATTCGACGCAGATTTTCGTTCGAATATGTATAAATGAAGGTTCCACAGTGCATAGAAAAAGAGAAAAACGCCAAAACCTTCGGATTTTTGAGAGTTTAGAAAAGTTTTTCGGAAAATATTCTTGCCCAAGTTGAAATTCAGCCACTTCCGTCAACTAAACAATTTTTCTGATTTAACAGCTCCATGCAGAATTGAATTATCTATCGATCTCCGCAAACCGCCGATTTTTTAGCATTAAATTTTGATTTTTCAGAGATGTTTTTTTCCGA